TAATAAAAATGAAAATGAAATGTCCATTACACAAGAAATACAGAATGATTTATTGAGGCAGATATTAGAGACGCGTATTAAGATTGAAAACTTAGATGTAGAACAAGTAGCCATTGTTTATGTAGTAGACACACAACTTACTGATTGTCAAAATATTAAAGATGAAACAATTAAAAGTAAAGAAAAAGGATGTATTTTTGAGATTATAATTCGATATCTTGAGTGTATATGATCAGTTGTTGAACTATATGAATGAATTGTGTGTATTTGGTGTAGATAAGGCAAGTTTAAATATGATATTGTATGAATATTTGTGGCGTATCCAAAAGGAGTGTTTAATTATTGATGAATATTTAAAAGAATATGTTACTTGTAGAAAGGTACTTGATGATGCTGCTAAAGAAGAAAAGGATAAATATAAAGAAATTTTTGATTCTGTTTGTGACATAGGTCAGGATCGTGATATAATATGGCAAACTATTGTAGATTGTTTAAATAAGGGTCAAAGTAATGAAATAATCATTGGATATTTAAAAACATTGGAGGATGAACTGAAAATAGGGTATAATAGAGTTCTACAACTCAATCAGGAGCGTGGACAGATTATTGAAAACATTTGCCAAAGTACTAATGATTTACCTGAACCTATGATACGTGACAAGTGTGATGAATTGATTCAACAAGTGGAAATTTATAATAAAGATGAATATTATAAAAATAAATATTTGAAGACCATTGAAACTGATAATGTACGAGATCGTGAAAAAAAAACCGTGATAAATTTGAACATGAGTTTTATAGAAAATTTCTAAAATTTATAGCCGAAAATCAAGGTTTAGATCATTATCGATTATGAGATTTTATTTATGGATTTATAAATTGTGGAAGGAGTGACGATGATATCCATAAATGTTTGGAAAAATTAGAACGCGACATAAAATGGAATCGTGGAATTTATGGTGAACGGGATCGTGCAATTGGGTAAATATGTATAGCCACTGCAGATTTGAGTAAACCTGAAACACGTGTGACCTGTGAAACATTAATCGATAAATGGTATCAAAAAAGTTTTAACGATAAAAAAGTTAACGATTTGTTATGGGATATGGTTCGCGATAATGAGAGAAAGTGGGATAAGAGATTTAAATTATCGAAATCTGATATTGCCGAACATAATCGTTTATATGATGAAGAAGGGGAACGTCATGCTCAATATGTAAGGAATATCGAAGAGAGAAAACGTAGAGAACGTGAGGAAAACGAAGAAAGGGAACGTATAAAGTGTGAGGAACAAAGGAAATGGGATTATGATTATCATAGATTTGAAGATAGACAACAATTCAATGATTTTATTGGAAGGTGGTAATTTATGTAAGGGTGTTAGTATCAAGTTAATTTATCATTCAATAATATTGGAATATATATTATATATAATCTCTTTCTATAAATATATACTCCAGTTACAAAATAAATCAAATTATATTGAATAGTATTTAAAGTTTCTATTAAGCAACTTACAATATTTTAATTTTTTTATATATGTTAAAAAAAAAAAGAATTATTAATCGTTTTCTTTTTTGGGACCAATCTAAAGGTTTAAATATTCAATTTTTCTTTAATAGATAGAAATTACTATAATTATAAATGCACTTATAACAAATGCTACTAACAAAATATTGAATATGTTACAACACATGTCTTTATTCTCTTTTTTTTTGTTTCGTGTGGTGTGATAGCGGCTTGTTCGTTTGTTGGTATTTCTGTATGCATGTTTGATAATTTGTATGCTGTGATGTATTGTTTGGATTTCTGAAGACTTGGTATTGGATCTCTGATTGTGAAAAAAATGAAGTTAAAAGTAAGTGTATTTGCAAATGAATATTCATAATTATTTTTTTTGTATACAAATCTGTTATTTATAGTATAATGTTTGTATTTAGTTAATCTTGCATGAATTATGTTATAAGTATACTTTTGGATTTATATAGTTATTCATAACTTTCAACATCAAACGCGTTGACTTCAATTTTTGACCTTATTTAACAGATCTCGATGTGATCTATTCATTTTTTAAATAAACTGATCTTAACTCGATTTTTTCGAGATTGTGTGAACATCACGAGATTTGACTTTTTGGTCTTGGAACTAAGTATTGAACTGTGAAAAGGTGAAATTTTGTAATTTTCCTTACGTTCAGAGAAAATCGAGTTAACTTCAATTTTGGACTTTAGTTTATAGATCTCGATGCGATCTATTCAAATTTTAAATAAATTAATTGTAACTCGATTTCGCACGTTTTGTGCGAATGTAATTAAGTTGAACCGGATACGTACGGAAGTACATTTTGCTGTATAGGTAAAGTGTTAAATATTAAAAACTATTTGGTCTTTATGTTTATTACAAAAATTAATATATTTATTTTAACGGAATCACTAAAGTTTTTTCACTTTTAATTAAAACTGTAATGGTAAAGAAGTAAAAAAGTGTTTTGAGGCTTTTGAATTTTTGTTTAATTGCCCTTATAGGGTCTAGGTATTGGGCACTAGTTTGGCATAACAAATTATATAGTACTCAATAATAAAAACTGAAAACAAAAATAAATTATATGGCATGTCAGATGATCTTTCTAAAATGAATTGTGGATGACACTTTCGATGCATGTGAATTTGTATGGGAAAAAAAAGCATCTTTACCCCTATTATTGGTCATCTTTTACAGTAGAGAATCATTTATATTGGTGTCAAAAGAAAATCAAAAACTCCAAAAAATATATTGACATACACTGAAATATAAAATTGTGTATACAATACTACTTGCATACGATAGGGATTGGTTGAACCCCCGCGTTCATCAATG